TATCTTCTCTGAAATAAACTCTTCTCGCTCAAGGGAAGACTTTCTTTTACACTGTCATGTGGATTTTAGACTAATTTTTAAACAGAATGAAAGACATTTAAATTGAATGAGTTACTCCACTTCTTGGAAAAAATGCAATGATAGTACAATCCTTGGGCCTAAACAATGATGTCTAAAACAAGTGCATACATTTTTCAAATTCAAGGAAAAAAAGCTAACACAGAGCTCTTCAAATAAATTTTTCCTCCAACCTTTTCAACTATCAAGTTTGTACAACATAAAACCAAGACCAGAAAAGAGGAAATCAAAGGGAGGAAATTCTGATCATAAAATGTGGACATCCTAACTCATTCATCTCTTTACCACACCAGAACGTATCCTCCCCAAGATTACGGCCTGCAGCAAGCACTGTTTATACAAGATGAACAGAATCAAAAACATGAATGCCATTAGCCATACTTAAATATTTGAGGTATGAATGTTTATCTTTGGAGAAAAGCTGCATTTTCTGATATCCTTCTGTTGTGATTCTTTTCTTTGTTGTTGTTTTGCTCTGTTTCCTGATGAGTAATGTATGTTTTTTATAGTTTATAGCAAAAAAACTAATTACAAACAGGAATTTTGGTGGCAGCAAACATTACAAAGCATAGTTACTTCCCTGTGTATACAGCATACTAGCACACTTCATTTAGCAGTATCCCACAGCTTCTATGTGATACCACAAGTTTAACTGAAGGAAGACAGCGTGCTCTTTAGCATTTACTGAAGCCTTTTTGTATATTTGACCAGGATTTGGCTGCAAAAATAGCCTGTCTATAGCCTGCGCAATGTAGATTTTGTATTTATGTTCTCCATATATAAGACTGTACAGAGGGATCACTGATAATCAGATACAGAATTAGAGCCAACCCACTGAGTTCAGCAAGAAACACTATGGTGGCTGAAGACACAGTAATTCATCTCTGTGCCTCATACTAATCCTTAAAAGCTGTAAACTGCCTCAAAACTGAAATATGAGTTGAATCTCTGTTTCAAAAAAAATATTATTAGAATTAGCATTCAGTTTCTTTTTGCATCTTGCTGAATTCTTGGCCTGAAGTAACATCCTGTGGCAGTGTGTCCCACAGACTAATTGTAAGTTGCATGAAAATGTACTCTCTTTAATCAGGAAGGGAGCTCTTGTCTGGCGTGATGGACAAATACTGCTTGTCTTGCCATTCCACTGATGTGCTGTCATACTGCACTGAGAAACCAACAAATACGCTGCGACGTGGAACAGTTTGTACTGGGAGGACGCAGGCACTGAATAGCAATGCTCCATCCTCACTTTGCATGCATACACACATATGCTTCAGTAAACTTCCCACATCAAATCCACAAGGCCAATATGAGAGAGCAAAAGCACTTCCAAACACTTTTCTCTGCTTCATTTATCATCTGCAATTGATTAAATATTCATTAGCACCAAGGTCTCCATCTTACCCAACTGGGCCTCTAACTCAGTACGTGCTGAAATGGTAATTATTTTTCTTAACATTAAAACGTATCAGAGCTAATACATAAAAAAAATCCAACAACTTATAAAGGTATCTTAGAAAGATACCTTTATAATATAAACTCGTAATATATGTGGTATCATATAGAAGCTGTGGGATACTGCTAAATGAAGTGTGCTAGTATACTGTATACACAGGGAAGTAACTCTATGCTTTGTAATGTTTGCTGCTGCCAAAATTCCTGTTTGTAATTAGTCGCTTTGCTATAAACTAATATATCCTATAAATATATATTTAGAAGTGAAGCAATCACTTGCTGTTGGTGGGTTTTGCTGTCTAAAATAAAGCAAACAGATTGCTACTGACCACAACCAGGGCTCAACTCAATCAGTGTCAGTAGTCTGTTAGCACTGCAAAGCAGTACACCCATAGCTAACCATGTCAGGTTCAGATTCTGGTAGCCGTGCAGAAGACAGGCACGAGGCTCCACATTACAGGAACTACTCCAAATATTTACTCAACTTCCTAAAGGGGTTGTACTGCCACTGCTTAGCTGCTGTGGTTCAAATGCTACCAGTACCCAAATGAAGTAGTTTGAAGTCGGCTTGAACCAGTTTATGCTACGCTGTAATCACAGCACTGGCTGAAGCATGAAGGACACCCACTTAATTGCTATCTGAGACCATGAAAGATGCAGCAAATCCAGAGGATCTCTTTCTATAAGGCCGTGTATTTTTAGGAGAATGATGACAGGTTTGTCCCTGTGTAGTGATAAATGTTAATTTCACCTTGAAAATTCTGAGATTCTTTTTTATTTTGCTAACTGATTCGCCAATAAAATTATAAAAGCATAACATGCTGAAAGCTGGAATTTTCTTCCTGAGCTGAAATCAAATATTTTGACATTTATTAGTTCCATAAAACATTGCTAAAAAAATAAACATTTTTGAGTTCATAAGAACCATATGCTCTGCTGTTTATAAAAAAGAGCTGTGCTGGGACACTGAAAAAACATTCTTCAAGAACTGCATTCTTTGGGGGATTTACATTTTTTTAACCCTTTTCCTGATTATCAGGATCTACACCACATGCCCAGAGTCACAGCACCTCTGGAGTTGTGTGTCAATACCATTAACTGCGCTGCTCTACAGACTTGAATTCTGGCATTATTCTGCAGTTACTTCAACTGGTAGGGCTGTGTTAGGTACAGCTGGAGGGTGAAAGGAATTACTTTGAGTAGCTTAGCAGACATGCAAGAGAGATCTCATATGCCTTGTATCAAGGGAGTCCTATAACCTAAGGGGTCAGTAAATCTTCCTCAAGATTTGCATTATCTCAGGAATTTTCAGTTGTGTGGTGCCCTACAAAACAGCAGTCCCCAGTCTTCATGAGCAGAAAAGGCAGTAATTTAGAAGGATGCCTCAAGGAAAGGGTGGATGACTGGCAACGTTTAGCAAACCTACCACAGTTTGGGCTGCACAGGCTCAGACCTTAAGTTTAATCTAGGACAGAAAATTCACATTGGACACATTTCATTTTAAATCAAGTCTTGCTTTCAAGGAAGGAAGCATGAAGTTGTCCTCGTGTGTTCTGTTTCCAGAGGGTTTTGAAATATGGAGCAGGGTGGAAAAAATACTGTATGAGGCATTGCAATGTATAGATGCAAAATTTGCATTAGAAGAAAGGCATTTGGTAAAATTTTGTATTTCTTCATTTACAGAGTTCTGTATTAATTTAACTCTTTATTCCCATTTTCAGAGGTTCAGGTCAGCTCCATTCTGAAAGAACATAAGGCACCTTTCCACCTGACTCCCTGCAGTTTTCCGTCTTGTGGACTGACTCTCTGGTGTCCCATAAGGGACAAACACCAATTAAAACCCTTATCACAGCTGGTGCATTCAAAATCTCATCTATGTGGATTCTTGAGCATCTAATAAGGTAAGTGGCCACACTGCAGCCTTTCCCTTGAGGAGCACTGATTTACATACCACTACTCTGTGGCCCTGCTGTTTATGTTCAGGCCATTTTAACTCTAAGTTAAAAGTAGCATGGCTGAACATCGAGTCTTACAAGCCCTCAGTCCAGTTTGTCTCAATCATGCTGTATGTCTAATGCTGAAGTCATGCAATAATCCACCTTAATTCACAGAATCATAGGAGAGTTTGGGTTGGAAGGGACATCTGAGCAGGGGCATCTCCAACTAGGCAGTCTGACCTTGAACGTTTGCAGGGATGGGGCATCTACCACCACTCTGGACAACCTGTTCCAGTGTCTCACCACCCTCATCATAGAAAATGTCTTCCTTATATCTAGTCTGAATCTGCCCTTTTAGATTTAAACCATTACCCCTTGTCCTACTGCTACAGGCCTTACTAAAAAGTTTGTTCACATTTTGATTCTATGATCTTTCTTATAAGCCCTCTTTAAGTAATGAAAAGCAAGCACCTCTTCCTTACCTTTAAAAATGTGGATAATATATTGCTATCTTGCAACATGTTGCAAGGATCATCAGAGCTACTCAGCCTCTGAAGAAGGTCAAGTAAGTATCTACACAGGTTTCAAACTTAGGCATATCAGTAGTCTTCACTGAGAGGGAAGACTAAGTGTGTCATCTATATCCTGAAGTGAGTTATTCTGTCCTAGGAAGAATGTGACTACCACATTAAAAAAATATGAACATTACTGTCTAGCCAATGCTTACTGAAAAATGAGGTTCCACTATACAAATCTTCCAGCAATCCAGATTGCTACACAGGACTACTCACCTCTCAAACTGAAAAGTTTTGTTTATTGATGCATGACCAGGACGGCTACACTTTACAAGGACAGTTTCCTATGAGAAATACAAAATACTTACAGTTAATATCATAGGCACACACACATGCACAAATATTTATAATTTCTAACAATCTAGGCTACAGCAGTAATTAAGAAGATGAAGACCAAGGCCCTTCTCTAGCAGTCACCGACACATGAGCCTTTAGAGCCTCTATACTGCAGTGAACTGGCAAGACCACAGGAAAGGCTCTCAAAACACGTTCAGATTATTAAACAACCAACACAAAATATGTGCACTTAAGTTCATGAGAAAGATGCAAACCCTTACCTGAACGTCTTATGTGTCTAGAAAGCCACAGGCAGGTAAATGCAACCTCCCCAACTGCTACCACAGGTCAAAAAAATGGCAGAAAAAGTTCTTTTTTATTATAGGGTCAGTTTTCACAGTGCATTTTCAGACTGATTTCATATATATTTATATTTGTGCCTATAACCGAGCAGAAGATGCACATTTCATAGAATAACATGCTAGTTCACAACTGTGAGAAGGAGCTGCACTAGAAATCCACAAGTTTTAGTGGCATCCACTGTCCAGATGGATTATACAGCAGTTTTGTAAGTCTGACTGATATGTAAGCAGCTCTTTAAACTATTACCAGAGTACAATCACACCAGTGATTGCCTTCAAATAAGCATTGCCACAGACTGAAGTCATAAAGAGCTGAGAAAATAACAACTGCATAAAACAGCCTGTCCAGTATGCAAATGGCTAATAAAAGTCAAATTTCTTGTTTTGACTTTACAAGTATTTCTTCCTTTTTGGAGAAGGCCAATGTATCATTATCAACCTAATTATGACAACACTTGCTCTACAGCATGAGCTATGTTACCCATCCCAGTACTGGGAAATTTAGCAGCAGTACAGATGTGAGTACAACCCTTTGCTACAAAATGACCTGACACATAAATTCTAAAAGGATCTGTAACCATCAGGCTGTGGGAGGAGGAGTGGAGAGAAGAGAGGGGAGAGAGGAGAGAAGGGGAAAAAAAAAAGAAAGAAAGGAAAAGTATATAGAGTTATGGAACACATTTTGATTCAGATATCAAATTTACTTCCAGACCGGCTTTCCCTAGGGTGAGAAATGGGACAGAAAAAAACTCTATTTGCATAACATAGAAACAAAAGACTTGTTAATAGGCAGAAGTTTCGTATGAGCATTTGTAATGACCTTCCTTTCTCAGGAGATGACTATGGCCTAACATATCCACCATGGCTGCTGGCCTGCAGAATCTCATCAGGTTTCCCTGTCAATAGTGCTCATGAAATCCACACAGCTGACTCGCATGAACGCTGAAGAACCTTTCTTTTTTACCCTAGAGTCACAGAATACTCCCTGTCTGAGTTCTTTCAGGGCAATATGAAACATGGAAATGACAAAAGAATACTTTATAAATATTCACAATGTGTCCTGACACCCAAGCCTGGGGAGCAGCTCAGTAAGCGAAATTCAGTAAGGCAGAGAAATAATTTTAAATTAGTAATATGGAATAGTGGATACAGACAGGATCGCAGAATTCAGCTGCAATAATTATAATTTCTTATCACTTGTTACTGTGTATCTGCTGAAGGCTGTGTCCCTTTTCCCAAGACGACTCCTCCACAGCAGAGCCAATGTAAGGCAGACAGAGGCTGCTCCTCGCGTTTTACTGTCAGCTTCAGTGCAAACAGCTGATGTAGCACCGAGCCTGACAGAGACAGCTTAAAGGGTTCCCCACACTGGGTAAGCACCAGCAGAAGAATCCTTTAGTTGAGGATGGTGATAAGCAACTGGGGTGCAATAATGTCTTCAACTGCTCTAGCTACATTCATCTGATCCATTATAAATACATCTCCCAAGAAAACGAGGGTCTTGGCTATGTTAATTCACATTTTCCCAGTCCTATCTTGGAAAAACGGCAGAATCTTGCACTTCCCTGATATTCAGAGCAGCCAGCCTCTTTGACATCTTCTTTTTCACAACTACTCACAAGTGAAAACCTTCTCAAAATTATTTGAAAGGAATTAAGTCACGTAGAGGCAGCCAGACTCTCTTCTCTGTACCAAAGGAAGTTGGATTCAAACATCAGTTCAGGTATTAGGCTAGGGGGCAGGTGCCTAAGTAGTCATGGAGATAGATAAACATATTTAAAGTTTAATTCAGATCTTAGGTGAATGACTTTCCCTCTGGAGGTGGCTACTTTTCTTCCGTGAACACGGGGGAGTCTGGAGTGATCAGGCACCTCATTTAAGTGTCTATATTTGGTGTTGTGAATCCAGGCAAAAACACTGGTACTCATTCAAACATGACACCTCTATTCACTACAGCGCACTCTGCCAGAGGTGGACAAAGAAACAGAAGAGCAGCAGGTGGGATCCTAGATCTGAGTCACAGAATGGTTGAGGTGGGAAGGGACTTACAGAGATTATCAAGGCCAACCCCCTGCTTAGACCAGGGTCAGCTGGAGCAGGTTGCCCAGGACCATGTCCAGTCAAGTTTTGAGTATCTCCAAAGATGGAGAGTCCACACCGCTTCTGGGCAATCTGTTCCCATGTTTGACTGTCCTCACAGCTTCTTCTCATGTTCAAGATGAATTTCCTGTATTTCAATTTGCATCCATTCCTCCTTGTCCTGTCACCATCAATAAGAGCCTGAGCATTATCTACTTCATCTACTCATTTTGATTTTCTCTCCATCATCTTTGCCAAGTCTTGGG